AGACTGAATTAAGTCAAAAGGCACCGCTTGACGAAATGGATTAAAAGGGAAAATCCAACAATTTGTTGCTTACATGAGACCCATCTCACCAACAGAAATAAGTATAGGCTTAGTATGAAAGGCTGGAAGAAGATTTACCAAGCCAATGGACCCTGAAAACAGGCAGGAGTAGCAATACTTATCTCTGACAAAGTAGACATCAAACCTAAATTGATCAAACAAGACAAAGAAGGACAATCCATACTAATAAAAGGGAAAATAGACCAAAAGGAAATAATAATTATCAACATATATGCACCAATGTCAACAAGACCCAATTTCATCAAACATACCCTGAAAGACCTAAAAGCATATATTAACGCCAACAAGGTGGTTGTGGGAGACTTTAACACCCCATTGTCATCAATAGATAGGTCATCCAAACAAAAAATCAATAAAGAAATCCAAGATCTAAAATATACAATACATCAAATGGACCTACTTGAAGACTACAGAACATTTCATCCAACTTCTACACAATATACATTCTTCTCAGAACCCCATGGAACCTTCTCCAAAATAGATCATATCCTAGAGCACAAAGCAAGCCTCAGCAAATATAAGAAAAAAGAAATGATACCATCCATTCTATCTGATCACAATGCAAAAAAACTACAAGTCAACAATAGTAAAGACAAAAAACATGCAAACAGCCGGAAACTAAATAACTCATTTTTTAATGAACAATGGGTCATTGATGAAATAAAAGAGGAAATTAAAAGTTCCTGGAAGTCAATGAAAATGAAAACACAACCTACCAGAACCTATGGGACATAGCAAAGGCAGTCCTGATAGGAAAGTTTACAGCCATGAGTGCATATATTAAAAAGACTGAAAGATCCCAAATCAATGACCTAATGATACATCTCAAACTCCTAGAAAAACAAGAACAAGCAAAACCCAAAACAAATAGAAGGAGAGAAATAATAAAAATAAGAGCTGAAATCAACGAAATAGAAACCAAAAAAACCATACAAAGAATTAATGAAACAAAAAGTTGGTTCTTTGAAAACATAAACAATATCAACAGACCCCTGGCAAACCTGACTAAAATGAGGAGAGAAAAAACCCAAACTAATAGAATCAGGAATGCAAAAGGGGAGATGACAACAAACACCATGGAATTCCAGGAAATCATCAGAGACTACTTAGAACCTATATTCAAATAAATTTGAAAATCTTAAAAGAAATGGACAGATTTCTAGATACATATGATCATCCAAAACTGAACCAAGAGGAAATTAATCACCTGAATAGATCTATAACACAAAATGAAATTGAAGCAGCAATCAAGAGTCTCCCCAAAAAGAAAAGTCCAGGACCTGATGGATTCTCTGCTGAATTCTATCAGACCTTTAAAGAAGAACTGATACCAACCCTCCTTAAACTGTTCCATGAAATAGAAAGGGAAGGAAAACTGCCAAACACATTTTATGAAGCCAGTATTACACTTATCCCAAAACCAGGCAAAGACACCTCCAAAAAGGAGAACTATAGGCCAATCTCCTTAATGAACATTGATGCAAAAATCCTCAACAAAATAATGGCAAACCGAATTCACAACACATCAAAAAGATTATTCACCACGACCAAGTAGGCTTCATCCCAGGGAATGCAGGGGTGGTTCAACATACAAAATCAATAAACGTAATAAACCACATTAACAGAAGCAAAGACAAAAACCACTTGATCATCTCAATAGATGCAGAAAAAGCCTTTGATAAGATCCAACACATTTCATGATAAAAGCTCTAAGAAAACTAGGAATAGAAGGAAAGTACCTCAACATTATAAAAGCTATATATGACAAACCTACAGCCAGCATTATACTTAACGAGAAAAACTGAAACCATTCCCTCTAAAATCAGGAACAGACAAGGATGCCCACTATCTCCACTCCTATTCAACATAGTACTGGAATTCCTAGCCAGAGCAATTAGGCAAGAAGAAGGAATAAAAGGAATACAAATAGGTAAAGAAACTGTCAAAATATCCCTATTTACAGACGACATGATCCTATACCTTAAAGACCCAAAAAACTCTACTCAGAAGCTTCTAGACATCATCAATAGCTATAGCAAGGTAGCAGGATATAAAATCAACATAGAAAAATCATTAGCATTTCTAACACTAACAATGAGCAAACTGAAAAAGAATGTATGAAAACAATTCCATTTACAATAGCCTCAAAAAAAATCAAATACCTAGGTGTAAACCTAACAAAAGATGTGAATGACTTCTACAAGGAAAACTATAAACTTCCGAAGATAGAGATTGAGGAAGACTATAGAAAGTGGAGAGATCTCCCATGCTCATGGATTGGTAGAATCAACATAGTAAAAATGTCGATACTCCCAAAAGTAATCTACATGTTTAATTCAATTCCCATCAAAATTCCAATGACATTCATTAAAGAGATTGAAAAATCTACGTTAAATTTATATGGAAACACAAGAGGCCACGAATAGCCAAGGCAATACTCAATCAAAAGAACAATGCTGGAGGTATCACAATACCTGACTTCAAACTATATTACAAAGCAATAACAATAAAAACAGCATGGTACTGGCACAAAAACAGACATGAAGACCAGTGGAACAGAATAGAGGACCCAGATATGAAGCCACACAACTATAACCACTTGTCTTTGACAAAGGAGCTAAAAATATACGATGGAGAAATAGCAGCCTCTTCAACAAAAACTGCTGGGAAAACTGGTTAGCAGTCTGCAAAAAACTGAAACTAGATCCATGCATATCACCCTATACCAAGATTAACTCAAAATGGACCAAGGATCTTAATATCAGAACCAAACTCTAAAGTTGATACAGGAAAGAGTAGGAAATACTCTGGAGTTAGTAGGTATAGGTAAGAACTTTCTCAATGAAACCCCAGCAGCACAGCAACTAAGAGATAGCATAGATAAATGGGACTCATAAAACTAAAAAGCTTCTGTTCATCAAAAGAAATGGTCTCTAAACTGAAGAGAACACCCACAGAGTGGGAGAAATATTTGCCAGCTACACATCAGACAAAGGACTGATAACCAGAATATATAGGGAACTTAAAAAACTAAATTCCCCAAAACTAATGAACCAATAAAGAAATGGGCAAGTGAACTAAACAGAACTTTCTCAAAAGAAGAAATTCAAATGGCCAAAAAACACATGAAAAATGCTCACCATCTCTAGCAATAAAGGAAATGCAAATTAAAACCACACTAAGATTCCACCTCACCCCTGTTAGAATAGCCATCATAGCAACAACCACCACAACAGGTGTTGGCGAGGATGCGGGAAAAAGGAACCCTCTTACACTGTTGGTGGGAATGTAAACTAGTACAACCACTCTGGAAAAAAATTTGGAGGCTACTTAAAAGCTAACATTGATCTACCATTTGATCCAGCAATACCACTCTTGGGTATACCCAAAAGACTGTGACACAGGTTACTCCAGAGGCACCTGCACACCCATGTTTATTGCGGCACTATTCACAATAGCCAAGTTATGGAAACAGCCAAGATGCCCCACTACTGACGAATGGATTAAGAAAATGTGGTATCTATACACAATGGAATTTTATGCAGCCATGAAGAAGAACGAAATGTTATCATTCGCTGGTAAATGGATGGAATTGGAGAACATCATTCTGAGTGAGGTTAGCCTGGCCCAAAAGACCAAAAATCGTATGTTCTCCCTCATATGTGGACATTAGATCAAGGGCAAACACAACAAGGGGATTGGACTTTGATCACATGATAAAAGCGAGAGCACACAAGGGAGGTTTTTCTAGCATTTGTTGCCCTCAATGCAGAGAAACTAAAGCAGATACCTTAAAAGCAACTGAGGCCAATAGGAGAAGGGGACCAGGAACTAGAGAAAAGGTTAGATCAAAAAGAATTAACCTAGAAGGTAACACACACACACAGGAAATCAATGTGAGTCAACTCCCTGTATAGCTATCCTTATCTCAACTAGCAAAAACCCTTGTTCCTTCCTATTATTGCTTATACTCTCTCTTCAACAAAATTAGAGATAAGGGCAAAATAGTTTCTGCTGGGTAGCGAGGGGATGGGGGGGAAAAGGAGGGGTGGAATTGGTGGTAAGGGGGGGGTGACAGGGGGAAGAAATGACCCAAGCATTGTATGCACATATGTAATATAATTAAAAAATTAAAATTAAAAAAAAAAGAGAAAACACTGAGTTTTAAACATATTCCTTGCAACTTCTTTCAAAGATTCCATAAGAATGTCTAATTAACTTGTACAGTCAACAAATATTAACTAAGCCTATAAATAATGTGCCATAAGGGCTCACACTGAGAATGCTTAGTACATCGAATATATTGTGAAATTTCATTGTCGGTACAAAACTAAAGACTGGAGGTGGGATAGGTAGGTTGAAAAGGATATGCAAGAGAACTGAGAATAAGCAATTTCACATAAATTAGAATCTAGGTCACTGCTAGATTTCTTGAGTGCTATAATGTGTTGATAACCTGAAATACTAGTAATCCTATAAAATATCTTAGAGGAGGGATATACACTGCCAAAATGGTACTATTCTCTGAATGGAGAAAACAAAAAAAGTAACTCTAAAATCATTTACCCACCTAAAAGAGCAATAGCAATACAGTCAGGTAGAGCTTGCTCCTCAAGAGAGTAACATTTACAAACAGCAAAAATGGAAATCATCACATTTAGTATATGTATAATAATTCCCAGGCCAGTTCAAAGTGATAAATCTAAGATTACTGGTTAAGATTAAAAAAAAAAAAAAAACCCTACAGTTTTTAGAAAAAAATCTTGAAAAGGTATTCAGGTTTTTTTATTTATGATAGACAAAGAACAATATTTACTTTTTCTAAGAAAAAAACATACCCACGGGTTTAAAACCAGTGAACTAGAAAAATTCCACATTTCATTTTGAAAAGGTATTTTTAAAACCCCACAACTACTGACCTGCCCAACTCTCCCCGGATGTTTCAAGGCCAAGCCTCCACTGGAGACAGCAGCAGCAACATTCCCTTCATGGTCCACAACCACGGCGCCCACTGTGTCCAAAGTGCCTGAGTCATTTTCCTGCAAAGCAAAAGGGGTGTGAGTGGTCACCTGGGACTGGCATGAGACAGTTGGGTATGACTTCACAGCACTTTTCAGTACACTCCTAACACAACAATATCTGAATAATCCTTAAGTGGAATACTGAAGAGTCTTGTAGATTATCTGTTATCAAGCTGCCAATTAAATCCTATGTAAGTCAAAATGAAATTTCCCCAAGAGACTTCAAGGACCCTCATTAATAATATTTTATTAATATTTCCTTGTTTTTCTCTAGTAAGACTAACATGAATTTTAATGGAAAAAAATAATTTAATATAAATTACAGTATACATTAAGTGCCTCCTGAATTCAATAGGAATAAGCTTTGTGATTGAAATAGTTATGGAAAGAAAAGATCTGTTGATGTGAATGAGACCAATAATTGCTGTTAAATTTAGAATTTTTAAAAAACATTTTACATACAAAGTTCAATAAGCAATATATTCTATTTTTTAAAATATTTTGTATACCAAGTTCCAAAATTAATATATTCAGCACAAATAAGTAAAGAGATTGGCATTTACAGCCTTGGAGTATATCAAAATATCATTTTGTCTTACAATTCCTTGCTTGTGGGAACCTTTATGGCATTCTCCCTTCTCTGCAATATTATTAATATGCTTGCCAACTGTATGGCAGAAAACTGTATGCTCCTTTATGTCTCTGTGTCCTGTTCCAGCTCCCATATGTTTAAAGCATTTCACATTCAGTGACTATAAGCAGCTTCTCCTATCACAAAGGTTTCTGGGTAGCCTTATGCCAAACAAACTACTGGATGAAAAATGAGAATTAAGGGAGAGAGGGAAAAAAGTTTCATGAAAAAAAAATCTTAATCATATATTAAAATAAAAGGTTAGTGCCAATCTTTAGGTTAATACTAGTCATGGTAGTGTTTTCAGACTAGGGTAGTTTTCAAACCATGCCTCAGAATCCCAGACTCCACCCTTACTCCCACCCCCAGAATGCATGAAAAAGCCAGGCATAACCCCAGGTTCAACAAGAGAATTTTCACCTGTGGAGTGGTGAACTGCTCATACTATTGAGCAAAACTTTGTTTGTACTGTGGGATGCCTGCCTAAGAAGTAAAGTGACACAGGAATGTCCATGAGATCCTGGAGCAATCTCAGTTGAATGACACAGAAGGTATTTTTAAATATTAGGAGCAGAATGAAAACAAAAGATTTTCCTTTAAAACAAACCGAAAAAGTCAGAAGTAGGCTGATAAGAAAAGTCTGATAAGAAAAGGTACTTACATCTAGATATTTTCATTTCTTGCTTAAAATTCTAACATCCTTTATATATTCTGAAACACTATGAGAATACTTACCAGGATAGATATTTCACTGGCCATTTCCCAGAATAGCACCATTCGGCTCACAGCAGGAGCCTCTACCATTTGAAGATAGTTCCTAGCCTGACTCAAAACTACTTGCGGAAAGGTCTCTCCACTCTATATAACTTCGCATACAGCAGACAGACAGTTGTGGCATATTTATACTTCAATAAGGATGCAAGATGTCTGCATCCCCTGAGTTCTAAAGCAAGCCCAAAAACTTTATTATATGAGCCAAGCCACTCCAGTGCCAGAATCAGTCTTCCACCTCCTTTCCTCAAGAGTTGATTTTATGTAACTAGAGGTTGCCACTATCTTAAAAAACTTAATAATAACGAGTCTTGCTTATTCAGAAACACAAAGCACCGCATTGTCTTATTCAAAGTATAGGGGCCAGGCATGGTAGCATGCTGTTGTAAATGGGTACTTAGGAGGCAGACATAGGAGGATCATGGTCCACAGCTGGACCCAGAAAAAGCACAAGCCCCTATATAAAAAACAAACTAAAGCAAAAAGTGCCGGAGGCATGGTTCAAATGATAGAGCACTTGTCTAACAATATGAGACCCTGAGTTAAAAAAAACCTCATGCCTCCCCCCAAAATAACCAAAACCCAGAAATTCATTAAAACATTTTATTTCAAAAAGAAAAAGATGAATAATTCTAAAGAGAAATATACTTCTAAGGTGATACTTAATATAATATTCAAATAAACTATTTCTAAATCTTTATATTTTAGAACCCTCACATACAGAAGTATCTAGTCCTTGTTCGGATGGCAAGTCTTAACATCATATGTAGGAAGGCTTCTGAAACTTTAATGTGCACACAAACCACCTGGAAATTTTCTTTAACAGAAATTCTAATGGAGTAATCTGAGAAATATCCAAGATTATATATGAACAGTCTTTCAAAAGATGCTGATGCTGATATACAGATCATACTTTGAGTAACAAGATATGGCAGCATTCTATCCTATTGTCTCATCATCACCCAAATGTCTGCTCCTGAGACATACTAACGTAAATAATATTATAGACACAAATCTGATGAAGAAGTCAAAAACACCTAAGGCTGATATTATGCCACTGTAAAAAGATTAAGTCTCTCGTTCAAATACAAATTGGCAGCATATCACCACTATCATACACCAGTGACATACTACTAAGTATGTTAAAGCACTGATCTTACATTGTGGATTTTGGTTACAAAAGATTTCATTCTTCTTCATGGTTGAGTAGTATTCCATTGTGTATAAATACCACATTTTCTTAATCCATTCATCAGTAGTGCGGGCATCTGGCTGTTTCCATAACTTGGCTATTGTGAATAGTGCCTGCAATAAACATGGGTGGCAGGTGCCTTGGAGTAACCTGTGTGCATTTTCTTTGGGTATATCCCCAAGAGTGTATTGCTGGATCATATGGCAGATCTATGTCTTTAGCTTTTTAAGAAGCCTCCAAATTTTTTTCCAGAGTGGTTTTACTAGTTTACTTTCCCACCACAGTGTAAGAGGGTTCCTTTTTCCCCACATCCTCGCCAACACCTGTTGTTGTGGTGTTTGCTAATGAGCTATTCTTAAACAGGGTGAGGTGGAATCTTAGTTGGTGGTTTAATTTGCATTTTCTTTATGCTAGAGATGTGAGCATTTTTTCATGTGTTTTTTGGCCATTTGAATTTCTTCTTTTGAGAAAGTTTCTGTTTAGTCACTTGCCCATTTCTTATTGGTTCATAGTTTTGGCGAAGTTTAGTTTTTTAAGTTCCCTATATATTTGGTTATCAGTCCTTTGTCTGATGTGTAGCTGGCAAATATTTTCTCCCACTCTGTGGGTGTTCTCTTCAGTTTAGAGACCATTTCTTTTGATGAACAGAAGCTTTTTAGTTTTATGAAGTCCCATTTATCTATATGCTATCTCTTAGTTGCTGTGCTGCTGGGTTCCATTGAGAAAGTTCTTGCCTATTCTATTACCAGAGTTATTTCCTACTCTTTCCTGTATACAACTTAGAGTTTGGTCTGATATTAAGATCCTTGATCCATTTTGAGTTAAATCTTGGTTATAGGGTGATAACATGGATCTAGTTTCAGTTTTTTGCAGACTGCTAACCAGTTTTCCCAAGCAGTTTTGTTGAAGAGGCTGCTATTTCTCCATCGTATATTTTAGCACCTTGTCAAAGATAAGTTGGTTATAGTTGTGTGGCTTCATATCTGGGTCCTCTATTCTGTTCCACTGGTCTTCATGTCTGTTTTTGTGCCATACCCATGCTGTTTTTATTGTTATTGCTTTGTAATATAGTTTGAAGTTCAGGTATTGTGATACCTCCAGCATTGTTCTTTTGACTGAGTATTGCCTTGGCTATTTGCCAGTCTTTGTGTTTCCAAATTAAATTAACGGTAGATTTTTTCATCTCTTTAATGAATGTTTCATTGGAATTTGATGGGATTGCATTAAACATGTAGATTACTTTTGGGAGTATAGACATTTTTACTATGTTGATTCTACCAATCCATGAGCATGGGAGATCTCTCCACTTTCTATAGTCTCCTCAATCTCTTTCTTCAGAGTTATAGTTTTTCCTTGTAGAGGTCTTTCACATCTTTTGTTAAGGTTATACTCCTAGGTATTTGATTTGATTTTTTTTGAGGCTATTGTAAATGGAATTGTTTTCATACATTCTTTCTTTTTTTCATTATTAGTGTATAGAAATGCTAATGATTTTCTATGTTGATTTTTATTATATCCTGCTACCTTGCTATAGCTGTTCATGGTGTCTAGAAGCTTTGAGTAGAGTTTTTTGGGTCTTTAAGGTATAGGATCATGTCATCTGCAAATAGGGATTTTCTGACAGTTTCTTTACCTATTTTATTCCTTTTATTCCTCTTCTGCCTAATGCTCTGGCTAGAATTCCAGTACATATGTTGAATTAGAGTGGGGATAGTGGGCATCCTTGTCTCAGTTCCTGATTTTTAGAGGAATGTTTCAGTTTTTCATTAAGTAAATGCTGGCTGTAGGTTTGTATATATAGCTTTATAATGTTGAGGTACTTTCCTTCTATTCCTAGTTTTTCTTAGAGCTTTTATTCATGAAATGTGTTTGGATTCTTATCAAAGGCTTTTCTGCATCTATGAGATAATCAAGTGGTTTTTGTCTTTGCTTCTGTTAATGTGTTTATTACATTTATTGATTTTTTGTATGTTGAACCACCCCTGCATCCTGGGATGAAGCCTACTTGGTCGTTGGTGAAAATCTTTTTGATGGTTGGATTCAGTTTGCCATATTTTTTTGAGGATTTTTGCATCAATGTTCATTAAGGAGATTGGCCTTAGTTCTCCTTTTTGGAGGTGTCTTTGCCTGGTTTTGGATAAGTGTAATACGGCTCATAAAATGTTTGTTAGGCAGTTTTCCTTCCCTTTCTATTTTCATGGAACAGTTTAAGGAGGGTTGGTATCAGTTCTTTAAAGTCTGAGAGAATTCAGCAGAGAATCCATCAGGGTCCTGGACTTTTCTTTTTGGGGAGACTTCTTGATTGCTGCTTCAATTTCATTTTCGTGTTTATAGATCTATTCAGGTGATTAATTTCCTCTTGGTTCAGTTTTGGATGATCATATGTATCTAGAAATCTGTCCATTTCTTTAAGATTTTTCAAAT